CTCTCTCTCTCTCTCTCTCTCTCTCTCTCTCTCTCTCTCTCTCTCTCTCTCTCTCTCTCTAAGTACTTTTATAAGTTTAAGAAGATATGTTCTATTCGATAAAATCATCGCTATGATGACTTTCGCTTGATATGCGCGATATTCTTGGCCGTGAAGATATTGCAATATCTCTGCAATATGCATAAATACTTTCAATGATATAATATCCAATTCTATCTTAAATATAATAGTAATTTGCATCTTAAGAAATTAAATAATACAGAACACTTTCATATATTATACACATATATACGCGAAAACAGATATAGATTTTTTTTTAGATGTAAATGTGTCTTGATATGTGTGTAAATACATTTATGTGTATCATAATTATATATAATTTTATTTAATAACAGTACATATGAAGGAACCAGGACAATTCCTCGTATTATTTGAAGATTTATTCTACGTTAAATCAAAGCAAAATGCTTAAACTTTGAATATAAAACTCCTGATTTAATGTAATAAGATTTCATATTTTCAAACAATCATGACTTAACGACAATATATATGAATAAAACTCTGTTTTCGATAAAATACTTATGTTTTAGCATGTGAAAACTTTGCTAAACCTCAATGACAATCTTAAAACACGTGTATTTGCATAGTGGAAGTATATAATTTATAACAAAGCTAACAAACAGCTTCGTAAAATATGAATAATGTCAACAGATGTGTCACAAGATGTAACTATGTATATAATGTATATAAATGTGTATATATAATTTTTCTATCTATAATAAATTACAATAAATTATAATAGTTTGATATAAATAGGATGAGTGTAACGATGTCACTGAGAGTAGCGCCGACCAATAATATTTCCATATTTCAAGAAAAAAATCGTATTTGACAGAATATGGTATATAAGAAAAATAGCATTAGTACAGTAGTAGTTAATTAGACGTAGAACTTTAATGTGATAGAGAGATAGAGCTATTGTCAACGTTTGCTTGCCTATTAAAGAAGAGCAAACCGCTGACCTATCTAAGAATTGGACAAGAGTTTACTGTGCGGGCGCCAACACACGAATGATTGGCCACGTTAGAATGCGTTGCGACAGACGAGATCCGTGCGCTAGAAATTTTTTCTCTATTTTATCGAATTATTTAATTTTTCAATTTCTATTTGTATATTCTGTCTCTTTATTATGTTTTCATCGTAAAGATATCACATCACATAATAAGTTTAATAGTATAAATCATGAATTTTTAAAATTTTTATGACTGATATTTTTTGTTTTTATAATTGAAAATTTTATAATTGATATAATTGATAATTTTATAATTTTTACCTGATATATTAAATATAAATTTTTTAATATATTATATTAATTTCAATAAATCTATTTAAATATATTTATTAAACATATTTCTTATCTTAAACATATTTAAAGTTTTGTACTTTATATTTAACGAACTTTTGTTAAGAAAAAAAGATTTTTACAATTTATAAAATTCTCATATTCTAATAATAAAAATAAATAAATAAATTATATGAAAGAAGAGTATATAAAATGTGTTTATTGTCATTATAATCAAAGTTTTCATCAAAGTTAAGTATTTCATTGCTAGATAATATTATTATGATTTTTTGTAATTATAAGATACTTATTTCTAACATATTTCATTGATAATATATTTTAATAACATATTATTGAATACTAAATATATAAAAATTGGAACTATAAATAACATTACATAGTAGATAAGTATAAAAAATATTTGCATATTCATTTTTCGAAAATGATGGAAATGTTATTTTTTGAATATATTTTTATGTATTTGTATCACTTATAAATTTTAAATAAAATATTTGCGAAAATAAATAATTTTCTATCTAAATTGAATTAAAAAAATTTGTTTTCTTATTATATTTGTATTCTTATTTGAAAGTATATTGAAGAAACTTTACTAAGTAAACTTTTCTTGTGAGACAGAATATTATATTTCAAATACATGTCCTTTCATTTCAATTACATGCATAGGTAGTCAATAAGATATACACATAATGAAACAATAAAACAACAATAAAATGCTCATAGAGAGTCAACAATAAAAGAAAATTTTAATATTTTTAAAAAAGATATTAATATATCTTTTTTAATAAAGCTATATGTTGTAAGTAAATATCTTATTAGCATTTTTGTAATTCTTAGAAATAGTTTTTAAATATTACTAACTAATCATTCAATTACACTTAAGGTTATATATCATTATAGAATACTTAAAGTCACATAGTTAAATCTGTTAAAGCATCGATAGTTCAACAATATAAGTTATTATTAATGATTAGACATTAATTATTATTCAAAGTGCGTTATTAAAAATAGCATAATTGATTTTTCTTAATAAAATGAATCAAAACATTTCGTTTTTCTCTGCGAAAAAAAGTACATTCATATGATTTAAAAATGAAATATATCATCTTTTATCATAAAAATTATTATATTGTAATGATTTCCAATAACGCACATTGTTATTATTAATTTATAATTAAAATCAAAAGCGATATGAAATTAACAAAATTATTAGATTTCAGAAGAAAGAAACTTCCAGCGCTCGGATATTACTGTATAAACGTTCGAGGATTTTTATAACATACACAGAGGACTAGAGTTTTACAATAACTGATTGATCTAAGTACATAGTTGTATATTGCCTACTACACGCAGCGACTACCGTTTAAACATTTTCGTTACAATTTGTTCAGGCTAGGTCGCCAATTATTAGATAAATATTTGTATATGCTTTTTTTTAACAACGGAGAACGTGATTCTAGTGATTTGCATGATTTGCAAAGAATTCAATTTTATTAATAATTAAATATTATACAGATAACTATGCATTAATTAACTAATAAAATGATCTATAAATGTGATATCTTTATTATATTGCATGTATTTTGCAGAAATTTTGTTAATTAAGTTATAATATATTAAAATAAATTGTGCCATTTTATGAAAAATTGTTTGTTTTCTTATATTATTTCAACCGAAATATTAATATAATACGAAATTTTTTTAAAGAAAATATTGTTTTTAACGTATAACATTTAACCGAGTGTTCTTTATATTTGAGAATCACTCTTTTTAATTATAATATTTTATTATTATTAATATTTTAAAAAGAATAAAATAAATTTTATTAAGTTATTAAAAAATTAGAGTTTAATATTTTATTATTACTCGTTAAAATTGTTAACTATATATATTAACTATATATATTAACTATTATATAATTCAGATAAGTAATTTTTTTTAATTAAAACTTATACAATATTCTCCGATAGTTTATGAAAATATTTTATTTTGTGAAAAAAATTTTTAGAGAAAAATGGCACAATTTATTTGCAATTTTTATTCGCAGATATATGGATTTACTATGGATATGGAATAGAAAAAAAAAAAACAAAATAAAGCAAGACATAAAATATTATTACAAAAATAAAGAAAATAATATCCGATTTATTGCTGAAATATTAATATTAAGCTAACTAAAAATTTTTTTATTTGTAATAAAAACAAGATTTTTTTATGATTTATACGTAATATATAAATTTAAATCTAATGATAAAATGTATTCGTTAAAAATAGATTGTTTAAAATGAATCTAAAAATAACTTTTGGTTAAAATATTTAGATATGTCTGCATACTTATTTCTTTTTTATTTAGAAATAATGTCATATCTAGTAAATTGTGCGAGTTCAAATACTTATAAGTAAGTTTATATATAGTAAATTTTAAGTAGATATAATTTAAATATATCTTTTAAACACCTACTTCGATAAATACTACGATAAATACTTTCATAATAAGCTTAAATATGCCTCATTTCGATATGATTTCCAATTTGGAACATTTTTTATTCCTAACTAATAACATTTACTGCTCAACTCGTAATCGAAAAAACTAATATATCTATATTTAAAGAATTTATTCGTGGCAAATCGACACATTGATTAATTTAACTATTAATATTTTATATAATATACTTTCTATGTAATTATCTTATTTGTATTATTCTAAAAATAATAAATATAAAGCAAAACAAGATGTAAAATGTTAACAATTATTTAAAAATAAAAAGAAATTCGCTTTAAATTCTTTTTTTTGCAATTATTGCCTTCTTTTATAGTTAGACAGTATAAATATTTTTTGTTCAAAGCTAATTTATTCTTTAATTGTCCATTTATCTCTGATTCGCCTTATTCAACATATCTGCCATATCCCGCAAGCTTTGTTCGAGCGTTTGAGCGAATCGTGTTGCGTTTGTTTTACCATCGCTATGAAAAGCGGATATCGAAAATATAAAACCATTGCTTCTGAGATTATAAGCGCAACCATAACCATCTGGAACAACTGGTCCGTATCCGATGATAGCATCATTTTTCGAAGTTACCTGAGAATTCAATGATTTTTGTCAATTATATTTAAAATATAATATAGATATATTAGAATCCATTATTTAAATTAAATGGAAGACAAATTTGCATGGATAATAATCGATTAAGAAAAATGAAATTTATTGTTATGAAATAATTAAAAATTAAACAATTTTCAAATATGAACATTTATTGAAATTAATTAATAATTAATATCGAAATTTACTTTATTATAAAATCTTGTAATTTTATTCTATTTAATAAGAAACTATTTATGGAATTATCTTGATAAATAATAATTATGATAATAATAATGATGATTATATATTAAAAATCGTTATATTTATAATCGTTATATTAATAATAATTATATTTTTAATCATCATTATAAGTCCATGAAGTATACACGAGAATCTTGAACATCGATTAATTATTAATGACTAATTAGGTACTTACCTGTGATGTCGAGAGAGCAAAATGATTAACTATCTTATAAGCTTGATCCGTGAAAATATCCGGAATCGGTTCTCCAACTTCCTGTGCGGCATAACGAAGGCCCATTAGATGGTTATCAATTCCATAACCATTTATGTTATCATTCATTTCCTTAGTTTGTCTCTGTACTGCTAAGTCGAATAATTCTTTGATTCTTTCTTGCTGAAAATATAAATGGACCGTTTCATTTGCAAATAAAAATAATGTATATAATATATACTGTTCAAAAGTTTGGAAACAGTCATATTTTTGAAATGAAAAATATTTTGTATATATTATAAAAGTAATTATTTATAATAAATTTTTATTGACATCGAGTACTTTAGATTAAAAAAAAATTAATAAACAAAAATTTTTTACAAATTAAAAAAAAATTTTTGTTTCATTAAAATTTTTATTTAAAATTTCTTACTTATTTTTAAATTTTTGGACAGTGTATATCTTTATTATTTATTTTTATGCTAAATTAATCAATTATAAATCTTTGTTTTAAGTGAAAAATAATAATAAAATAGTAAAATTTGTATATAATATAATATATAATTAATATAATATAAATTGCAGAGAATATAGAGAATAATATTCTTGGTTAAACTATTATAAATCATTGTTGATTTATTATATATTATTTAAAAAAATTATTTAAAACATTTAAACAGTAGCAATATATTTATATTGCGAAAAAGAAACATAAAATGTGTTAGAGAATATTATAATTTATAAAGCAGTGCTTTCAAAATAGATAATTATAATAATTATATTACAAGCAAGAGAAAAATTTCAAATTAAAATTAAAAATACGATTTAAATAGAAATACTTATTTTTAATTTCATGCTGATAAAGTACAATTCTTTGCATACATGTTATCTCGTATTTAACAATTAAAATTTTAAATATAAGTATAATATATAAAAGTCGAATTCTATAAATCATATATTTTAATCATATTTTTTATATTTTCAAAATAAATTTTTCATTTGTGTTATTTTTNTACATATAAGTATATACAATACATATATAAATATATACATATAAGTATATACAGTTCATATATAAATATATACATATATGTATATATATTTCTTGAGCTGATTTTTTATTGTTTATAGGAATGCATTATATTATATTATGTATTATACGAGATATTCTGTATACAGTTTTATAGAACGAGCGTAACTATGAAGACATAGATTATATTACTATATTAGAATAGAAAACTATACGTATAAAGGAAATGAATTTCATTATCGTGCATTTTCTATGAAGACTTGTATAATTCTGGAGAACGAGATGGCTGAAATAACATCGTGATAAACGAGAAACAACAATCAACTAGCCGTGCTATTTTCCAAACGAGGGTGAATCGTGGAAAGAAAGCAAACGATAAACCCCTATGAAATTCACCAAGGCTATTCAAGAGATTGTACAAATACTTGAATGGGAAAACGAACATTGGCTGATCTAATTGATTCCCTTTTTTTTATACTATCTTTCTTTTCTTTATAGTTTCGTTCTTTTGATTGTAGATTTCTCTTATTACTTCTATATTATTTATATTTATATTTACTTTCTTATCTTTTCGAATTAATAGTATGTAATATATAAAAGAATTTGAAAAATATATTCATATTAGCGATACAAGCTACAAATACAATTATAACAATTTTGCATCATTATTTTGTTTATTCATTCTGTAATTTCTTACTATAATATTATATATATTTTATTAAATGGAATTAAATCTAAAAGAAATAGAATATAATTTCATTGCATTTCCTTTATAAATACAAAACTTCTTTCAATTTAAATTTATGAATATGTATTATATCTAGTTTTCATTTCATTTCTAGAATTATTTTTTAATAATGAAGAAAAATCATCTTGTATATGAAATAATATATGATCTCAGACTCAATTTCAAATTTTTTAATCAAGATTTTATGGATATAAAAAAAAAGATTATGCAATATGGATGTTTTGATTACGAGAATTAATAAAATGGATAATAAGATCATTATTTTCGAAATTATCTCATCTTTCGAATATTATTCCGCCTTGTTATAAAAAACAAACTACAAAATACAGCCAAGTTTCAGTTACACTGTAAATGGTGAACTGAACTCTTTTGGTGCTTTCGTCTTGAATGTTCTGTTGAGTGGCGATTTGACTATCAGGATCTCCTTGACACATTGCTTTCGCCCAGTTTAGAGCTTCGGGACTGGCCGCTCTGATGCAATCAACTCTTCCTAGTGCGAATCTTCGAATACCCGCGCTTTCATAAGTTGCTACTAAATTTCCATGCAATCTACATGAAACAAGAAATATTTACCATTAAGTAAAAGATATTTAAATAATATTTAACTTCATGGAAGATTTAAATTAAAAAATAGTAAAATCTTGCAGATTTTTTATAATAATAAAATATATAAAATTTGTATTTTTTTTTTATATTTTTAATAAATATAAGCATTTATTCAGGTAAGAAGTACTCACCTAAAATGTGTAAATTGTAGAGCTAATTGTATATAAACATCCGGACTAATTTTATGTGATTTAATGAATTCTTTCGAATATTCTTGGAACCACAATATGCAAAGATCCAAGTCTTCCACTAATCTGTATTGTTAATGTAAACATATGAAATATAATTTGAGAGAGTTTAATTTTAAGTATATTTTAATATAAAAATGGACAAATATATTTTATATTATATTATTATATTTTATAAAATAAATATTTATAATTTTTTCTCTTTGTAAAGTTATAAAAATAATTATCTTAAGGAATAAAAATCTATTTTCTACATTTCTTGTCTTTTCTTTTTCCAAACTTCCTTATATATATTAATATATATGTAGATATATTAAATAGTAGATATATTGTGACTTACGCATCAAAAGATATCATTGCATCTCTGATATCGTTGAAACTTTGTTCAGATAGATACCACTCGAGCTTTTCAGGTGCAGGCAAATGCGATGGAACGGTATTTTCCTCGGGTGGTGACATAGCATCAACTTTCTCTGTTAGTTCTTCGAATGTAATAAAAATCGCTGGACCTTCGCCAGCCGAATGTTCATAGTTCATGCCCCACATTCCATCCTTGGATTGAACATTTGTCAAGAAACACGTATAATTGAATATGTATAATTACGTATAAATTTGATAAAAAAATCTTAATATATTATTATATTAATATATTAATATATTATATATCAATTATTTAAAAATAAAATGATAATATTTCATTTATGATATTTTGTATTATTTCAAATTCTGATTTGATATAAAAAGAAAAAAATTTTAATAACAAATGCTAAAAAGGGAATAAAAAAATGATGAATTATTACAAGAAACATATTATCTATTATAATGGAAGAAACAAATATATCTGTACAAGTATCTTTTCAAAGTTTTTTATTCATTTATGCGAAATGACAAGTCGACCTAGCAACTTGGATAAAAAAAATGGTTCAAATAGGAATAGGAATAACTCACTCGAACAGAAATAACATTTTATCGAGGAAAAGTTTCTGTTTCAATATTGAATTTGAATTTCCGTCTTAATCATCGTGGGTATAGTTATACTTTATATAGATATATGTATGTATACCTTGCCGAGAATGGCATGGAATGTTTTATCAAACCATCGGTTCGCACCCAAATGTCTGGAACCTCCGCCATGAAGCACATGATGAAGTACATTTGCATAATCTCGATCATCAATCCATCGATCTTCTTTCTTTAGAGGATTGTTGAATGTCGCTGGTAATATATCATCATCGATACATACCACGCATAGACATCTTTCCAATAATTCCAAATTGTGCCGATTTTGTTCGTCTGTAAAAAAATTCTAATACCTTTACTTTTTTGTTTCTGTCTATGTTTTTCTTGTTATTTATTTATTATTATAATATTATTTTTATATATTGTTATATATTTTTATATTATTTCTATTAATTTAAAGATTGAAACTGGTTCGAAATCAATCATGTCCTCAAGATAATGTTTCATTGGTCAATTTTGTTATTAAATTAATGCTAATTAATACATATTTTCTCTCCATTTGATAATATCCTATCCTAACATCGTTCTAAAAACTTTTTAATATTTTATGTTACAAATTATATTACAAATCTTTTTCTAGTATCTTATATTATATTATAAATTAAAATGTTTTTATGGAATATTTAACAATTGGATCAATTATAATTTTTAAATATAATTTTCAATTTGTAAATAAATTAAGAATATATATTTTCTAAATATTCAATAATTTATTTAATAAATATTTTAATAAATAATTTTTTATCAATTATATTTTTTGCTGATTATTCTTCGTCAGTAATAAATGATAATGATTAATAAAAAATTCGATAGACTTGGTTTTTGTTCGAAAAAAAGAAAGAAACTTGATGTTTTATCAGGTCATCGTTAACTCGTTTTACTCTTCATTCGATTTGTAGGTCGTAGATTGTCGTTGGGTAAGATCGGGTTAGGGGGCTAATGGGAATATTGCGAATATTGGCGAGAGCAGAACAGCCGTTAATTATGGCCTGGAAGGGTACGTGGTGGCAAGGGTTGCTGGAAAACTTGCAATGAGATTACTTTAACTGCTTGTAAATGGTATGAGTCACTTATTTTCACTTATGTGTTCATTTAAACAATTCATAATATTAAGAGCAAATATTAAGAGCAAAACATGAATGTTTTTTTTGTCTTTTAATAATGAGAGGAAATAAAATAAATTAATGATTAATTTATTTATTACAATAATAATTAAAATTATTTAAATAATAAAATATTTAATAAAATTTATAAACTTGTTTTATAAGATTTTTTAAGATTTAAAAGAATAAAGAATTTTGTGTGAATTATGATTTATGGAATTTATTTGTGATATCGTAATTATTATTTTTAACATTATTGTTAAATTAATTATTTAATATATTAGTAGTAGAGTTATAGTTAAAATAATACATACGTTTAAGTAATTCTTCCCTTGCTTTTGCCCAAGCTGGTCTCTTCATCGTTGTAAGAATACCAACTGGTGGAGTTCGAGGATCAGCTTTAGTTTCCATAATTTTTAAAATTTGTTGAGCCAATTCGGTTTCAGTTATACGGCCTCGATCAGGAGCTCTAACAGGAACGCTATAAAACTAAAAGAATATAATTTCGATTTATATTAGTCAATTAAATGATTAAAAATTTATGTATCATTAATTACTCGTCGAATAAAGAACTTAAAGATGAATAATTGATGATGAACATAAATATTTTATTACACAAATATTTTATTGAAATTGACATGATATTTCGTTCGATATAAATATTTCAGAATAGATTTTTGTAATATCATCAATAATTGTGATAATTGTCATTATTACTTAACAAACTTAACGCAAATTTCTTTCTCTTTATTTCTTTTTTTATTTTTCATTTTATATTTTTATATATTTATAATTAAATTATAAAAATATAAATTTGAAAGAAATAAATTTTTTTAATTTTATATCCAAATTTTGTTATATTCAATCTTTATAATTTTCTTCTTATAATTTTTAAAAATTTTCAAATTTTTTTTAATTTTCTTTTATTTTTAAATGAAAAATAATTTTATATTAATAAAAAACATTTTGATCTAGAGATTATTAATTATTAAAAATAATATTAAAAAAATAAAATGAAATGTTCGTGCAACTTACTTAATGTTGTATAATTTAAAATAAGTAAAACGTAGATGTAGAACAAATAGAACAGTTGATTTCAAGTGGTGTTTCTGTAAAATAAATATGAAATGAAATGAAATGATGGAAAATGAAAGAATAAAGAATTTCTAAATATTGAAAAATTGTTTATAAAAATTTATAATGTAATATACATACATGTGTATAACAAATAAAAATTTTAAAATTATATTAGATATCATTTAAAAAATTTTTTATGTAAAATCATATTAAATCTTTTAATAATTTTATTTGCAATTATAAATATATTATATTATATATATATTATATATAAATAATAATATATTGATATAAATTTTATAAAAGGATTTAGAATACTTAATAAAGAAATATTTTTAGAAAATCAGAAAAAAACTGAATATTCTAATATCAATGAAAAATCATAAATAACGAAAATAAAATAAATTTTTAGAAAAATGTATACATATTTCATTATAATATTTCATATTTCATATTATTTCATATTCAGCTATAGAATTTAGCGTATAGAGTATTAAAAACATACCAGATTGTGATGAGCTATGATGATGTGATTCCCAGATGTAGTTCTATCAAGAATAATTTGTTCATCACCGTTTGTACCTGGTCGTCTGTATATTCGATACATTTGATAATGTTGAGCCATACATAAAGGTTGCATACTCTTTCCATCTTTTGATTTCACTTCATCAACATCCAATTCGGATCTAAAATGAAAAGATGTTATTAGATTATCTTAAATAATTTCGTTTCAAAATTCTAATTTTAATAGAAGAATTTATAATTTTTTAATATACATATTTTTTGCTTTTTAAATTAGAAAGTAATTAATATTTATGTTTTATAGTTTAAAGAGATTTTGCTATTTTGAATAAAATATAAAAATTTTAAATAAAACAAAAAATAATAAGTTTTTAAAAAATCTTAGAAAAATATGTGAATATTGTATTGTGAGTATGGTATATTAATAAATATCAATTATTTAATTTTTTCTTTTTGCTTTTGATGCTATATTGAAAAGAATTGAAAAGAATTGAAAAGAATTTTTTAATAGCTATTAATAGAAATATAATATAATATCCTTTTTCTAGACATTCATTCATTTTAAAAATACTACAAATTAGAGCCTATAATATTTAACAAGAGAAATTTTCGTTAATTCCGGAAAAGAAAATAGGAGGTATTCGAAGTGGTTCCTTGGCGAGCGGATACAGGATACCGAAGGGTTTGAACCTTTCTACAGGAGCATCCTTTGCGTTTTACTCGCGATGAGTCTCTTTACGGTCGTGTTCTATGGATCCTACAAGCCGGATTTCCTCGCAGACGTGCTCCCTCGTTAAATTGATTTCAGTGCGGCTTCTTTTTGTCCTCCGCTCCGCTCGAATCACCGTCTCGAATGACGGAGCTCCTTCCTTCGAGAGCTCACGCGCCTTCCATATGCGTTCGCTTTTCTTCTATCTCGGTTCTGACTGGTAAGCCTTCGTGTCGACTACGATTAGCTTAGTCAGCTTCTTCCAAGTAAGAGGGTTACAACCGGGTTCGAGAAGATTTTTAATAAAGATTTCCTTTCATTTCTTTCCATTCTTTCAGTTTGATTTATATACTTACTTTTAAGTAAATATAATCTAATTCTATTATAAATTATATACAAGTTAAATATTATTTGACAAAAAAATAAAGTATCTATAGTTGTTAAAAATTGCAAATTGTTTTTAATATCTTATATTATTTATACAATATATAGAATTCTAATATTTATATATGAATTAATAATCAGAAATTTATTTAATTACTTATGATTGTAATATAATTGATTTATTTATATTTTAATATTTCAAGTATTATTTATAATTAAATTTTATTTAATGTTATTATAATTAAATTTTTATATGTTTTATTTTGTAAATGGAATATAAAAATTTTATATTATTCCATTTGTTTCAAAGATGTTTCAAAGATAATATATTTTTACCTATCTAATATTTCTTGATAGTTAAGTAGCTCTGTTAGAAATCTGGCAAGGAATATGGCAGCTTCTTTTTGGTTGCTAAATGTTTTGGGCCTTGCTGCAAGACCAGGATTACTATTAATTGGTAATGCCAGAGGCACAGACAGGTACATGTCATTTAACCACCAATCAGTTGCCTGTAACAGATAAAAGAAGATATTTATTTTTTAATTACAATAATGTATATACAAGTAAAATATAATATAATAAATAAATAATATATATAAATGATTTATAATACAATTATCCATTTTTGTTTGTAAATTTTTTTGAAGAAAAATTAATTGTATATATTTCTTTTATATAAATATGATAAAATATAATAAAATATATATTTTTTTTCATAAATATAATAATATATAGTATAATTATTTTATATAAGAATAAATATATACTAAAATCAAATAATAAAAATATATTTTTATGTTTTATAATTCTTTAAAAATTGTTTACCATTTTATTATTGTACGATGTATTTATTTGCCTTGATAATTAATTACAAATGAGATAAACCATAACGAAAATATCCTGTTCTTGAACGAGATTTCATTGTTTAATCCATATTTAATGACGTGTCACGGTAATCCTCGTTGACATTTGGAAAAAGTGTCAGTTTTGACAAGTACTAAACAGCGATTATCTTTAAATTCCCTTCATTATTGTCAAGCGACTCATCTGGTATTAAATACCGAAACATCATATATAATATCAGAATTATGTACATATGATATTTACATATATATATATATATATATGGAAGTCCATGTATAGTTTCTAGCATCATTATATTCAAAATTTCAAAGCAATAAATCGAAAACAATCTTAACAATCCTAAAAAAAAAAATTCTTTGAAAGTTCCTATAGATAAATTGTCTTATAATAAGAAGTTAATTTTTATTCCTAAATATAAATATTATATTAAATATTAAATATTAAATATAAATTTATTCCTAATATAAATTTATTTCTACAGTTTATTTTTGTCGATATTAGCTGTATAGAATAGTTTGAGTATTTTTCAGTGATAAAGTACTTCCAATTCATTGAAAGTCTATAATTAAGAAATAAGTGCATTTTACGCAGTATATATATAGTATCATATGTGTGTGTATGTATGTGTGGTGTGTGTCTAATATATATGTAGTGTACAATATAGTAAAAAAAATTTACATATGAGTGTTTACGTATGAATTGCTTACTTCGCTTTAATGTCCATTTATTTTCGCATCCTGCTTTTTGTTGTAAAACATCTTAGTTCCATATACCTTTTTCTCATATTCAATTGCTCGTTAGTAGCAAATTCTCTTTTGATTAAATACGATGATTCAGGAGAAGCATGATTCGATCATATTGCTGCACATTAACGTATAAATTTGTTTTTTTAATGTCTTTTATTGCAAATCGTTTACTATTCATTACCAATAAATTAAATTTTTTACATATTTACAAAATATATATATATATATATATATATTTTTCATTATTAATACTCTTTTACAATTATTACAATTATTCATAATTATATATTATCTTCTATAGCAATAAATAGTTTAAAATAATATTTTATATATATTATATCATATTTATGCATCTAATTGTTCTATTTTATTTTTTTTTTCAAAAGAGAAAAAATGTAAAAGAATAAATTATTTAGTTAGAATGTTTAAAATGCATTTATTTAGAAATGCTTATAAAAATTAAAAAATTAAAAATTAATTCTGAAATTCATAATATCAGTGTTATTTTTTATAATGTTAAAGAATGTTTAATAGAGATTGAAACCTGATCTTAAATTCATGAAATTATAATTCGAAACATTATGAAGTCTCGAAATTCTTGAAACTTGAAATCCAGAATGCCTATTTTTTTTTTTTTTTCATTTCACAAATTCACAATTTTTTAACTCAGTCACTCACTCAATTGATAATTAATTAATAGTAACAAACTTTAAAAATATATTTCATATATATATATATTCTTCTTTTTTCTTTTTTCTTCCTAAAAATCTTCTTTTCCTAATTTTCTTAATATTTTCTCACTCACTCGATGTTTTTAAACATTGTTTTGTAAATAATAGAATTTCTGTTACGTTTCTTTCACAGTTGCTTTATAAACTGTTTATGAAATCTATTTTGCCGATAAAGTAGGTAAAAGTCGAAAAAATTTATCAAATCAACGCCATCTCGCGTTTGGATCATCGAAGCTTCGACTTATTATTAGCATAGTAGAATGTACAAGGAGGTATTCGTGACGTCACAGATAAAAAAGGAAAGTAATATTGTGCGAAAAGGATAGAAAAACGTGCCACTAACTTTGGTTATGTGGTTCCTGATACTATCTAATATGTCGGTAAATTAATTAATTAATGATTTTCCATTAAATTTCTATACTTTTAGATTCGTATTTTAAAGCTGAAACTTTAAATAATTTTCACATATCGATTTTAACATGAAATTCTTTCGAATTAATTATTTAATAAGGATTAATATATTATATATAATATTATATATGAAATGACATTACCGACACATAACATTACATTGAAAATTAATTAATTTCTTATTTTCTATTAAAAATTTCTCTACTTTTAAGCTTTCATTTCAAAGTTGAAACTTCAAATAATTTTCATGTATAGATTTTAATTTGAAATTTTTTAAATTAATTATTTATTAACGATTAATATATTACACGTATGATGCAATCGATTCTCATTAATTTCTTATTATTAATCATTAATAAATAATTAATAAAAAAGGATTTCACATTAAAATTGATACAAGAAACTTGTCTGAGGTTCTAGCTTTTAAAAGCATGCTTGAAAGTGTTGAGATTTTGTATAAAATAACGAATAATTAATGAATGTTCAAGATGGCGTCTTCGATGTGTTAGAATATATAAGGTATTAATCATTAATAAATAATTAATAAAAAAGGATTTCATATTAAAATTGATACGAGAAACTTGTCTGAGGTTCTAGCTTTTAAAAGCATGCTTGAAAGTGTTGAAATTTTGTATAAAATAATGAATAATTAATGAATGTTCAAGATGGCGTCTTCGATGTGTTAGAACATATAAGCTATTATTCATTAATAAATAATTAATAAAAAAGGATTTCATATTAAAATCGATACGAGAAACTTGTCTGAGGTTCTAGCTTTTGAATGCATGCCTGAATGTGGCAAAATTTTGTGTAGAATATGAGTAATTAATTAATTTTCAATATGGTGTCTTCGATGTGTTAGAACATATAAGGTATTATTCATTAATAAATAATTAATAGAAAAGGATTTCATATTAAAATTAATATGAGAAACTTGTCTAAGCTTCTAGCTTTAAAATCCATGCCTAAATGTGGCGAAATTTTAAATAGAAGACGAATAATTAACGAATTTTCCTTAAAATGGTGGGAAATATTCTCTGTCTTTTTCGCACAATAATGTTCTCTTTGTTTATGACTTCGAATACCTCTTTACATATTCTGCTATGCTAATAACAAGTTGGAGCTTCGGCGATCCAAACGCGAGATGGCGCTGATCTTAAAGTTTACAACTTTATCGACAAAATGGATTCCGTTAAAAAATTTATATTAAAATTATTATTTTTGCTATTTTATATATCGTATATATTTTTTGTATGTTATTTTATTCATTTTATTCATAAATTTTCACAAAATATTCACAAGTTATTCATATAAATATATTCATATAATTATTCTTTATTTCGATTTTAATAGCAAAGTAACAAAGAAGTTCAATGTTTAAGAATTTAAATAAACTTTTTTTAATATCAAACAAACGACTTTTCCAGGTTTCAAATGTTCCATCCTTAGTTTTTAAAAAAATGTTTTCGTGTTTGAGAGAAGTAAGTAAATACTTACTTTTAAATCTTGTATATTCATCGTTTCGAGCGCTTAGTTGCGCATAGCGCACAATTGCGCAACCAACGTGCAACACGATACGCTCGATGCGCGTTTTAAAGTAATCATTTCGCGAAATAAATGGTTTGGCTTGTTTTTTTTTCGATGTTTAATCTGTTTCACATAAATTCGTTGTAAATTCGTTGTAAATCGTAACGTAAGATGCTTAAAATTTATAAATAATTAATGAAACGAATATTTAAGAATAATTTAGAATCAACGTTTATTACAAGCCCATTGAAATTTAATATATGTGATTATTAAAAAAACAAAATAAATAATAATTTTATTATTGTATTAAAGATTTTTATATGTTCAAAACTTAATTAATAAAAAATTAACCTTTTCATATCATTTGTTCAATTTGTTCAAAATTTTTGTTTTAATTTAAAAAAAAAGAAAATAATTTGCAATATTCTGAAGATTTATAATATATATTTATGCTCATTCAGTATATTAAATTTTTCTAAAATTATTCTTTGATTTCTTTATTCATAACTATTCTAAGCCTGTCAAATATTCATATTCTTATTCTATTTCTACATCCTTTTCATCCGACCCAAACTCCAATCATTCACTAATTTAACTTAATAAATAAATCTCAATCTCAATATTTTTTCATATGAACAATCGACTTTCCAAAGATATTCCACGAATACTATTACATATTTTTTTTATATTACATATTTTTCACTTAACCTGTATAAGTTTTTCCTAGAATTTTTTAAGACTTTATTATTTAACTTCTAATTTACTATTTACAAGTGATACTTCACATGTTTAAATCATTTTGCAATAAATTTAAAGAAAAATCAAAGACACAACGCAAATTTTGACTTTGAAAGAGTTAACATCCCATATAATAGAATCATTCAAAATATTTACAAATATAAATATTCGCGTGTGCAGACATTCTCCGGTTAAACTAAATAACTCCTACAATCGTGTCGAGAAAGTATCGTCGCACCTCGTGGATCATTGCATCATGTGCACCTGCATCGCAATGGGGATGCACACGCGTAGTGGTATAAAAGTGATAAAAAAATGTATACACGCAAATCAGAGAAGATATCAATTTTTCTAAAGGAAGATTATGATCTTTTGCGCGTATCTAGCACGCTTCATATTTCTTATTTGACATTGTGGATTCATCATATTCACATGTATACATTTCCTCTTGAAACTCTTTTAAAAACATCACATCACTACTACTAATACTAC